CCCCAAAACCCCAAAACCCCAAAACCCCAAAACCCCTCTGTATAAAATAAATATTGAAATTAAATACTATTGGTGCTTTTTAATAGCAAGAAAAGTTAGCTCAAATCATTCGAGTAGCACAAGTTTGGTCTTGGCTATATTTCAGAGGGACATTGTTCAGTAAACTCACTGTTGGTCTCATAATCATTCTCATCAGTCTTCTGTCTTTTCCTGATATTGTAGAGGTCGAATGGGTTTAATAAGCTATCTTTATCATCTGCTTTCAAAGCCATTTTAGCAAGTTCGGCAAAATCAAATTTGGAAAATTTAAGGTGCTCGTTGTTAATTGTTTGATGCGCTTGGGACAACCTTTTGAATAACTTATTTCGCAATTTTACAAGGTCTCTTACAATATTTTTCAGTTCAATCAAGTGCTTACGAATCAACGGTAAAACTGAGGGCCAGCTATCAATGAATTCCTTAGTGTAGTTAGGCAGAGCAATCAAGGTATCAACAGATAATTTCTCATCTTTAGCCATGTACTTAGTCTGGGTTCTAGTTCTATTCAGGCCAGATTTCGCAATATGGATCATTTCTTCATTTGTCTTTTCATTAAATCACTTTAGCATCAGCTTGAAATTTATTGGTAGGACATCGTCAATGATCAGTTTAAAGGCTTTATTTAAGTCTCAAAATTCTTAGGGTGCCAAATGGACCCACGCTATTAAAACTTTCATCTATCATAATGGGATTTACCAACTCAGGTGCTTTCTCAATTAACTTCGGGATCCCACGGAAAGAGAAGTTTTCATCCTGGATAAATTTATTAATTGAGTCTCTCGTGGAATCGAGAATATTAAGTGAATCAAAAACCTGCTTGAACTTATCAAGCTTTTGCTTTTGCTCAGATACTTCATTTTCTAATTCCTTTACTCTGTTCTCAAGGAAGATATAATGGTCCTTCTTCCTTTTTCTATAGTTCAGGGATCTATAGAATTATAGTCAAACTCGGATAAAAGGGCTTAAGTGCTAACCACAAAGAATACCTCATTCTATTGCTTTCTGTCCTTCTTTGCTTGCTTACTTTCTTCCTAAAAATGAAATTCTCCTCAAGAGTTTTCCAAAATAGTCAACTTTTCCAAAATTTGTAGACATTTAACCCTTTGTTGGGATTTTTAAAGATTATTGCGAAGACTGACGTCATTACAAAACGATCTTTAGAAGTTAGAAATATCTTAGAGAAACAAGCAAAGGGATGAGCCACTAAGATTCCTACCTTTCTGAGCTAGATTCCTTCTTTATCTTCTATAGACAATCTGGATGAGAATTTGTTTTAGATTTTATGACTAATATAAACATGCAATAATAAAATCCAAGCTAAATTTAGGACACAACTAACATCAGGATGTAGGACAGAAAAGATCTCATAGCTCTTGTGCTAGGAGCTCTGAACTTACCTTCTCTCCTTGACTGCTAGAGATAGATATTTCCTAGATTTTTAGTATGAACCTTACCTTTTCCATCTTGATTAATTTTATTACCAATTAAGGATATGACTTCTGGGGTTTTGGGGTTTTGGGGTTTTGGGGTTTTGGGG